TTTGCTCTTCAACACCTTCAACACGGCTCGGGTCCCCATCTTTGGCCCGGACAGCACCAGCCCCACCATCCCCTTCCAGCATCTTGGCTGCTGGTGGGGCTCAGGGTTTAGGGGTTAAAAGGACCTAGGGCTCTAGGGGTTCTACGTAGCGTTGTAGGCCGGCAAGAGTCAATCCAGGCATATCCAGGCTGCTTTGATTACGGCTGCTAAGAAGTATGATTTTCGCTGCTCGGATTCCAAGGTACTACACGGCCTGGTACTGGTTCGTCCTCATGGCCCTGGGTGACACACTAAGTCGGCGCGTGCCGCAGTACCTCTCGCTTTCAAGCTTCTCGGTCCCGTCACAGCTTTGCATATTCTCGCTGTTGAAGATGCAAGGATGACTGTTGTATTGGATGCGGTGCTGTTGTAGACGATGCTGACCTTGGCTGTGACAGTCGTGGTGGTCGTGAAGAAGAAGATACAAACACCTGTGGCGATGATCCTGCTGACTTTGATGCTTTCGTCTAAAGGCATCCGCATGGGCTTGCGGCAAAGCTTTGGCGAAGGATTGTTTTTGTCGCCGGGCGTGTTGCGTGGTGTCAGGCATGACTGCTCGCGCGAGCGCAGGTTGGGATACACGCATCGAGAAGCGTACCAAGACGCAGAATCAACACATTTTCGTCCTCTTCGCGTGTAGGACTGTCCCCGCTCTACTCCCCGTCCGCCCCGACGCCCCGCCCCTTTCCGTGTTCTCATTTTAAGGCCTTTGTAACATCCCTGAACCCCGGTTCCCCAAATGCACGAGATCCGAGGCTGGCAGAGCTGGGCGTGTTGGATCGTGGTGTCCATCATTCTTTGCATCGGAGGCCTCAAGGGATCTCAAGGGCGCCCACTTTGCGTCAGTAATGTTGTGAGTTCAGGTGATGACGCTGGTAGGATGGTTGGTTCGGTTCATTGATAGTTGCAGGATGAGGCGGGAGCTCGCAAGCACGGCCTTTGCATTGACAAGCTGGTACTCATCTTGAGCCAATCATATGGCATTATACACTACAACACAATACACCAGAATATATAATAGATTCTGCTTCCCGCTACCCAGCATCATATACTATCATGTACTATAGCTTACTGTACTATACTATAATCACAAAACCTGACCTTCACGATGTTTTGGAGCCCCCTTCGGGCCGCGCTAGTTGCACTGCAATGTCTGCGAAACGTTTTGAACGAGCGATTGCATTCTCTCTACATTCGGCCTGCCTTTGAGCATGTGGGCGCAACAACGACCTGCTGTGTTGGGGAATCTTTGCACATGAACCTGGCTAGAATCTATAGAGTCAAGAGATGCGATGGTGCGAGGGCATGCTCTGCACGGGCCATTAGTGCTACACGAGGCTGCGCGAGATCATGCGACAAAACATTGCTCACTATGCTTTTGCGAAGTTTGCTCAACTTCTTTTCATCACGGACTGGTGGACCGTTGTCAGAAGAAGGCATGGCAGAAACGGGAGAAGCATTTCACAAGTCCACCGCTTGACCCGCCTGATGTGAACATGAGGGTCAAACCACTTGCTGTGAGTCCTGGCGTTTGCTGATGATCTGCTTGTGGGTCGCTGGCTTCATATTGCAGCACCCTTGCAGTCTCATACATGCAGAAAGCACTCCTGCTGTTGTTGTTGTTGTTGCTGTTGGTGTTGTTGGTGGTGTTGTTGTTGTTGTTGTTGGTGTTGTTGGTGGTGTTGTTGTTGTTGTTGTTGTTGGTGTTGGTGTTGGTGTTGGTGTTGGTGTTGGTGTTGTTGTTGTTGTTGTTGGAAAAATGGCCACAGGAGAAGCCCTGAACTTCCTGCTGCTTGCCATTGTCACTGGCCTTGCTGCCTTTCTTGCGTACTTCGGAAACGGACGCTGAGCTGCAAATGATAGGACGTGGCTGCCAGCCATTCGTTACTTCTGGGCGTTTGCCGCCCGCGGCATGTCGAGAGCAGTAGCTGAAGGGTAAGGCCACCTTTGGGCCAGTCATGTCTGCACAGACAGCTCCGCAACAGAAGAATTCCGAAGCAGTTGCACCCAGGATTGATCTATGGCTTGTCCGCAAAGTTCATTGATGCACACATTCCGGCGCAGCACCGCTATACCGCCTACAACTTGCTGCCCGGCTTGAGTGATGGCACCGGTGACGCCTAGTGTCTTAGGACTTGAGTGAGCCGATCTGTCAGGACATTGTTGCAGCACCAGCCATGAGTTCACACGCAGCTCCTGTTCTCTGAGCTGCGTCCTTGAACGAGAACCGGATGTATCGAATCCGCTCAACGATCTAAAGCTGTGTTTTCATGCGACTGTTAGGCGCAAGTCTTCTACAGCTGTACAGTATGCAGATTGATTACATTGGGGAAGCACCGTGCCCCGAACAGTGTAAATATCGCTGCAGGTGGTGTTTTTGCGGTGATCTGGGTGGCTATGCTGGCCAGAGCAACTTGGCGCACTGTGCTTGAGATGGGTTCAGACATGTGTGGGCAGCGGCTGTTGGCAGATCTGAATATCGCTGACAAGTGGTGCATAGCTGCTAGCTGGCTGCGCGCAGGCAGCTTGTCTGTCCACATTGCCAAGCAAGTGTGCGAGGGCAGGCACTACACGCATCTCGGTGGTCTTAGTCAATGTCACAAAAATTATTGGAAGCCCGATCTGCTCCAACATGCGGCAGGTTTGCTTGTCCCACCACCATCGCCTCACTCGTCCGTGCCGGCTTCCGGCCTTGATCCCCAGTCCAGCGACCCAATCCTACATACTGCTCGGAAGCCTGACAAGCTAAGCCACAGCCTTAATTTCAGCATTGGCTTGGGCTTGCTAGGGTTGGGAGTTCAGGAGGTTACCCCGCTGTTTAAGTGCACGTGTCGGACATGTATTTTCAATGCATGGTTGAAATATGCATTCAGACCGAGCAAAGATAGGTGTTCTAGATTTCCCCTTGAGACCAGGTATGTCTGCCATCAGAAGGCCTTCTCTTGGGACACTGCAAGGGAGTGGCCGGGGATGGACTGGCCTTCGCGATTCTTCTGATCTGTCGGTGCCACCAGCATTATGATTGTGATTGTGCTTGTCATTACTAGTTATTACTACTAAAAAAGAAAATTACTGTTATTGCTATGTATTAGTGTGATGGCTACTATTCATTCTTATCTTTGCTATTATAATTATTACTACTACTATTTTTGTTTTTGTTATTGCTGTCTCTGAGTATTCGTAGCATGATTATTATGAACCTTGCGCGAGCTCTCGGCTCGACCATGGCATGCTAAGCGTGCTGTACTGTAAGTAGGCTCCTTGTGAGCTGCTCTTTGTTACCTCGTGGCAGACGAAGAATTCGACCCAGCCCTAAGAACGACAATGTGTTCAAACTGATGAATCCCTGGGGTGATGGAATGGGTCGGGCATCCAAGACTTGATTCTCACAGAGTTTGTGGAGACAGCCTAGCAGCAGCGGCATGTCACTTGGACACTTCTCTCTGCATGGTCCGTGCGTGAAGCACACGTCTCCCCTCGATTTCAGCGGCCAGAGTCGAAGAAAAGGCGTCCGATGCTGCCTTGCATTGCGAACCCCCTGAACCCTAATGACCGAAGTGAAGGCCAGACTATTGCGTGGGCACCCCGAACCCCTGTATATCCCTTTACGAGTTTAACCCTTCGAGAGCACCCAGGTTGCCCAGCTCCAGATGCAAGTGCAACGGCAGGCTAGCCCGGTTGGTTTTCTATGCTTGTGTCGGGAGGCGTTCCAATAGGTTCGGAGTCCCCAGAAAGTTTGGTACACAAAAAGGGATTCTGACACTCAGAGTATGTAAAGAGAATTTGCAAAATGTTGGAATCTGTAGATAGGGGGGGAAAGCATTTTGGCCCTGGGGTCCTGGTGCCCTCCTGATCTACAGGCTCTGATGGTGGTCTCCCAGTGTGGTGGTGGCAATACTGTGGGTTGAACCATGCCATGTGTCTGTTCTTGCTGGCGTTGTAGAGAACGTTGATTTACGGCGCTTTACAACGACCATACTTGTAACTAAACGGTAGCTCAGAATCCAGAGCAACTCCCTGTGATGCTTGCTTGCCAGCAGGGCACGAATAGTAATCGTCAATACACCTTGATCCCCCTCGGACCATCCAAGCCTCGAGTCCTAAATCCCCTGCGTTATAGCAGTGAGTTTAGGGTTTGTGTTCACTGTCATGCTGGTTGGGCTACGCCGCAAGCAGGCAGAGGACAGTCCCGCTGCAGGGCCCCAAGCATGAGGGAGCCTGGCAGAGCCACGGCAGTATCAATAGATACTATTGCTATGATCTGTGATAACGATGGTGGAGAGAAGTATTACCGTGAGGCGTGCAGTTTCAGGGGGTCTGCTCCGATCAGAGTGCTATGTTTTCGAAGCTGAATTGGAAAGGCGGGTTTTCGTGGCGCACAACCGCACACACTCCGATGCCTACTCAAGTTCTACACCTTGGCTTGAAGCACCACCATGCCATAGGGGAGAAAGAGTAGGATCAGGCGGATCCTGATCCAAGTTGTCGTGAAGCATTGCCTGCCTTGCACGTTGGTGAGACCCCTGGAAATCTTATGAAACGCTAATGTCGCACTTTTTGACCGTTGTAACACTTTACATAGAACCCGTATGGGAAATCTTAGAAAGCCCAGTCTACTGCCCAAGCCATTCTAGAGTCAGAGTGTACATCGTAGTCGGACTGCGATGGCGGCTGGTTTAGCAAATGGCCGCGCTGCATCATGGGATCTTCCACTGCCTGTCCTATGCTGTGGCAGGAGGGAGGCTACAGTCAATGAAGAGAACGGTGGCGACGCCGACAACATCCTCGCAACAAAGCCGGAAGGCTTCCCGGTTGCCCTGATCGTTCTTCGCATGCTTACGACCGCTGTGCCTTTCGTCGTGGTCGTCGCCATAACGGCCCTGGTCCATGGTGCCGCGGCCCGTGTCTGTTCTCCTGCCGAAGCACATGGGATCAGGTCCATCATCTTGGTCTTCTCTACCATGGTGCCAGGTTGGGCAGCCGTATACCTATGCGCGAGGGCCTCCACAAGTCACGCTTGGTCCACGGCTGGCTTCCTCTTCTGCACCTGGGCTCTCGGACTCAACGATGTAGTTGACGCTGCCGGCAATTTCAACTCATCCGCCATGAACACAGCCCGGGTGGTCGTAAGCCAGGCTCTTTACTTCGTTCAGCAGACTTGGCTTGTCGCCCTTTCAGCTCATCGACTACACTCGCTACAGAGATCTGCAGGGCACCAGTTCTTCCCAAACTTGATGGCGAGGGCGTATTGCGCAGCGGCGGGATATGTCCTTGTCCCGATTGTTTTTTTCATCTCTCGCCTCAAGGAATTGTGGCTCCCGCATTTTGTTTTTTTTGCTCCACATGTGCCGGCATTTTGCCTTCGGCACTTTGCCGTTGGTGTGGAAACCTGTGTGGAAACCTTCCTTATTGGTGTGGACGTCTTCTTTGTGTTTCGTTTCTGTCTCTTTTCCTCGTTGTTTGGGATGATTGTCGTGATGGGCCTTGTCGGGATCTCATTTGGCCTCGGCGTCCTGCTTGCCTATTGTCGGATCTTGGGACACTTCACTGCAGCAAGACGAGTGGCTGAGAGGTCAACCTGCGGACGGAAGGTCAGTGGCCTCCACGCTTTGCAGAGGGGCGAGTGTGCACTTCGCAAGGAAATCTTTGGCTTCGCCCTGTGCTTCTTGACCACCCTCATTCTAGAACCTGTTTTCTTCGTGTTCCAGACAGAATCCCTGGCTGTTCTTCTCATCAATTGTGGGAAGTTCCTGGGCTACACAATGGGTGCTTGGTTCCTGTCCAACTCTTATCGTCTCTCCAAGCGCTCTGGCCTCCCTCCCTTGCCTCGTCGCTGCGGGACGCGTAAATCTCCTCCACGACAGCGTCGCACAACGGATGCAGCCTGGCATGCGAAGGTCGCAGAATTGTCGACGCGCGGCATCACAGCAAGGGAGTTGCTGGAGTTCTACCAGCAGCTGGGCAGTGGCACCATGCCACACTACAGTGCAGGCATGCACACCACCGGCGATGTGGTGCGACAAGCCATCATCCCGAGTACCAGGTCCGGGCGTTGCTCCTATGCCGAGGTGACAGGCAGAGAGCCCCTGAGACCGGCCAAAATGGTCACACACTCCTGGCGGAGCCTCTTCCGAGACCTGGTGGCTGCGGTCATCGCAGATGCTGTGCGGGAGACGAGTTTCGAACTCATATCGCAGCTGTTGGAAAATGAGGTGTCTGTGCTGGAGACTTTGCTGGAGCAGCAAGGAACAGGTGACCAAGTCTACTGGATTTGTGCATTTTCTGTGAACCAGCACTTGAGCATCTGCGAAAACTTCTCTTGTGATAAGGATTCTGTCACAGGTTATCTGCACGCAGGCTGCGACTGTGGATTGCCCAAAATCCTGAACACTACGCCACCACTTTCCACTGAGGGCCAAAGCATCGGTTGTGAGATGAACAAGTTTGATGATATGATGGCACTACTGGCAGAGGAGGTCCCCGAGTTCTCTCAGGTGGTGGCCGTTGACGCTCAATTTCGCCTGTTTGGCAGGGCTTGGTGTGTTGCAGAACTTGTGCAAGCCCACGAGTCAAGCTTAAAGCAGTTCGTCAAGATGCATTCCAGGCAAGTTCTGGAGAAGTCGCAAAGCGAGTTGCAGGAGCTTCGAGTGGAGGACATGCAGGCGTCGCGTGCGGAAGACGTGCAGCTCATCTTGGAGAAGATCTCAGACAAGAGCAAGTTCAATCAGAAACTGCAGACGCTCATCTTTGACGAAGCAGGCCTTCTGTCTAGCTGGCGTCAGTTGGACACGGCCGGACGCATGGAAGAAGTCGGCACTTTACTAAAATGGAGTCTGGCAGACGATGGAAAAGATATCGTTTGGCAGTATTGGCCAGAAGTGGAGTCTGGAAAATAAGATGTTTGGTATGCGACCATGCATGAGTAAATGTGCAGATCTTTTGTGGGGAACTCCCCCATCTCAGGAAACATGACAGCCAGACGCTGGGTTGTACAGCTGCTCAGTGTTCACGGCATCCTCCTTTTCCTTGAAGAGGCTTCTCTCAACATGTATAGTTTCTTTTACATGGTGTCGGTAAGCAAGCCTACAATACTGCATGTCTTCGACAACTTCGGATTGCCGCAGTTGCCTTTTGCAGACGCGCTCGTGTACAGACCATTGCAGTCGCAGCCGGTCAGCAATCGCAACCTGTGGCTCAACTCGATTTGGATATCTTATCCGGCTCATCAGGAATGGATACGGATACCTGGTGTCGCAGGATTGTCTCCCCCATCTCTATCGCAGGAAGTTCGCAATTCCCCGCGCCTTCTGCTTGATGCTGTCCCCTAAGCCCTAGACCCAATACCCTTATAGGCCCTATACCCTAAAACTCCCTACGTGCATCCTTGCCTGCCTGGTGCGATATCGCTGAACCCCCAAGCCCAAACCTTATGGCTACGGCTCAAGGCAGCTCCGGAGCCCCGAACAGCCAGTGTAGAGAACGTGTGTCAGAAAAAAACCCCATTCCATCTCACCTAAGTTGGAAGACACACTCCTGTTTCGGGACCAAGAACAGCTGCATCGTGGGCTTCTCAACCATGATGTTCCCAGGCATGTACGTAGCATGGCAGGGTCTCGCATCGTTTTTCCCTGTGTAGGTGTGGGCTCTCCCAAAGAAGGGACCATGGTACGCCATGGTGCGCGTTTTTGTTGTTTGAATTTGTCCGAGTTGCGAGAGCGTAACATAGGCGTCTTCATAGTTACTTATTCTATTTTGGGAGTTCCTTATAATTATAATTACAGAATAGTACACCCCAAATTCTATTCCAGATACTAAGGCCCCTACATTAAACCCTAATCCTCCGCATCCCGGGACATTTTGAAAGGTTCTGACCTCGCTGCCGGAGTTGTGCATGGCCAGTGAGAGCTTCGAGGACGAGGGTTTTTGATATCTTCGGGTTTCGGGGCTTAGTTTGGGGGTGTTGGGGCCAAAAAGTTTAGGGTTGAATCTGGGTTGCAGAATTCTCATTCTCAAAGCGGTGTTTTTCAAGCAAGCTCTGTGGCAGGCATTTCTCAGTGAGGGCATGGGCCAGGTGCCTACTTTCGTTTCCCTGGACTGGTCCTTCTCAATGCAGGCTTCCGTTGCATACAAGAGGTCGAAGATGCTCTTGCCAGTTTCGCGAAGTTACCCTCATATTATATCATATTATATCATATCATATTATATTATATTATATTATATTATATTATATTATATTATATTATATTATATTATATACTATATTAAATTATATTATCCCAAAAGTCCTCAATTTCTCACATCAGCGCCCTTTTCTCGGGAGCTCCGAAGTCATCGAAGCAAAAGGGGAGACCTCAACTCATCGACTGGTCTCCTCTCCTCCTAAAGCATAGGGAAGACTCTGCAGGACCACCGTCAAGAGCTCCAGCGGGCCTACAAGCACGAATTGCCGGAATCCCAGCTCACCTCAGGGCTTTGGGCATTGGTTTTGGGTCGAGTCTCATTTGAAGGCCGACGCCAAGGTCCGGTCCTGCCAGCTGGCATCAAGAGTCTGATGTTAAAGAAACACGCGTTTAGGACTCGGACCGTTTCGTTCTTGCCTCCTTTTCTGAGCCCGGTCAGAGGTTTTTCAGAACACTGCAGACACAGGAGCCTAGAGGCAAGTCCAAGAAATCATGGTTCTAATGTCTTCTAGTCTAATCTGTCCTCCTTTCTGCGGTAGAAGGGAGACGGAGGGAAGGAATAGTGTCCGGTCGGTTTCCTCATTTCCTCACTAGGTTCCCCAGTGGCGCCCTTTTGCACTTTGTATTTCAGAGTTCCCATATTAAACCAAGCAATACAAGGGGTACTCTTATTATTACGGGGCCACTGAGGAGCCTAGCTCTAGGGATGAGGGATGGCAAGAATCGGAGCCAGAGGTGCAACAGATGCTGGATGCAACTCTTAACGCCAGTCGCATCCTATTCTGGGGCTTAGCTGTTCCGCCCAAGGCATGCGGTGCATGAAGCGTACAAGAAGCAGCTTCGCACCCTGCAAGAGGCAGGGCACAGCATTTTGAGGGTTCCCACAAATACTAGAGCTTGAAACGGTGATAAAGGGGTCGGAATAAGTACCAATCTTTTTTCGTGAGGTTCCATATTCTAATCATATATACGAACACATACCAAGAAAAGCCCTACTCCAACACTTGAGGCCCTTTTACGTACCACCCTCTCGTTTTTGGCCTCTGATTAACATGGCTCGGAGCGGGTATTCTGAGTGGATGCGGACGATGCATGAAAGCAGTGTGTACCGGTTTCCAAGCATACCTTTTGCTTGCTTCATCCACATGCAAAGGCCATGTCAAATTGCTGGCGTGACCCGAGCCCATAGCTTCGAAAAGATGAGTTTTCCTGGCTGCCCCGATCCCTTCTGTATTCACGCTGTCCAGATTCAATGCTTGCGATGCAAGCTAGTCCAGCTAGTCATGCTATCCCTGAACCCAGGCGGTTGGGAAAAACTCTCATGTCCAAGTCGCAAGAGCCAGGCTTCGTGGTCGGTTGCAGGTGTCAGATGTCTCATGTAGGGGAAAAGAAGAGCCCTGCCAGGCAACGGGTTTGCCTAGGAATGCATGTTTCAACGTGCTGTTTGTCAGGGAAGTGTGGCTGCGAAAAGTAAAGGGCACCCAAGTGCTAAACCCCGCTTCCTGCTTTCAAAACAAGCTTTCCGGGCAGGCTTTGAAGATGCGACCACCCACGCCCACCCTGGACAAGGCGGCAACTCCGATTTTTTGGCTTGTGGATGTGCCGTAACACCCAGCACGAGCAATGAACAACCCTCCGATCGTGAATGTAGATCACATCCCCAATAGTTCCACGAAGTGGAAGACAACCACTTTCCACCGCTCATAGTAGAAACTACTTCGCCACAGCAGGATAAGAGGATGCCTCAATAATGTGCTCTACATGCGTCATCTAGCCCCATAAACCGTGCAAACCACAGGATTGTCAGTCAAGCCGTTTTCGGGAACTCAGAAGATAAGGGACCCCCCCCAATACAGACCCGATATGATAGAACCAATAAGGGCATTTGTAACTCTCCAAATGCTCGGCGGGAAGCCGTGAGGCAGAGCCCCGTGCGCTGGCATCTCTGAGCATGCTCCTCAGGTTTCAGAAGGCTCGCGGTACAACAGGCCATATTGTGCGCAGACTGTCTATGTATGTATGCAGGCATGCAGGTTTGTTTGTTTGTGCGTTTGTGTGTTTCGGTCTGTCTGCATGTAGGTAGGTAGGTATGTATATAGGTATGCATGCATGCATGCATCTATGTACGTATGTCTGTCTGTCTGTCTGTCTGTCTGTCTGTCTGTCTGTCTGTCTGTCTGTCTGTACGTCTGTACGTCTGTACGTCTGTACGTCTGTATGTATGCATGTATGTATGTATGTATGTATGTATGTATGTATGTGTGTATGTCAATGTATGTGTGTAGGTAGGTAGGCATGTATGTATGTATGTTTTGTATGTCATATGTAATTCGAAGCACGAGTCCCAGACACTCTTTATGTGTAGATATGCAGGTCCTTGAATACCTCCAGGTACGGAAGGATACATAGATCGGTAGACTCCGATAGACCCATAGACACAGAGATAGACATTCGGAAGGGTTGGCAGACAGGATAAATAGACGTACAGGAAGCAGACATCCACCCACCCACACCCACACACACACACCCACACACACCCACACACACCCACACACACCCACACACACCCACACACACACACACACACCCACACACACCCACACACACCCACACACACCCACACACACACCCACACACAC